CATTAATTTGAAAATTTAATATTATAAAATTATTTGTATCTATTTGTATTTTGGAAAATAATTCTTTTAACAGCTGTATATTACTTTTATATTGTGTTTGTGTTAAAAATGAAATATGAGTAAACCAAATTTTAAACTTCCAGTAATTAATAAGAACAGTACTCTAAGAATTTAAATATACAAAAAATAACTTTTGATACATGTAAAAAGATAATTTCATATTATTTACATTGAAATTATGATAGATTTGACCGGATGTGTAGTAACAAATCTATTGAAATTATAAATGAGTTATTTGTTAAGTAGATATAACGATATTAACGGTATTTTAAATTTTGCGGGCAAATCGTTTCAAATTGTATTATTTAAAATGTCCCCTCGAAAAACAGTTATAACAAATTTAGCTGTGAAACAGATATTTGAAATATTAGGGAAATATTACAAGACTAACTACTCCTTTTAGATGTTCGTGCCAATATCCCAATGTTACATTATGCAATTAATTTGGCTTTTTTTTAAGACTGACTTTTTGTATAATTTCATCAATAGATTGTAAAAATTAGAAAAAATAAATTTAAGAATCAAAATTTAAAATAAAAAACTAAAGGAATTGTTTTAATAAATATGATTTTTATTAAAAAAATAATTTTTTCATCATCATCCTTATTTTCACTATAAATAAGTGAGAACATCTAATTGTATATACCACATAGTTTTTGATAGATCTTTCTCAGAACATCTAATTTTATATATCACACAGTCTTTTTTTTTGTTTGTCGTCTATCACACAGTCTTTGTTTATCCAATTCTTATTGATAGAAAAAATATCAAAAATTCGAGAAACTATAGCTGGAGTCTAATCTCCAATTCATTTCGGTGGATGGAAAGATGAAGTTATCACCAGAAAAAGGTATGGATCTTTGTTTATATTCATGTACAATATTAGATCTATCAATAATTCATCATATATATTACTTGCAGTTTAGTAATGTCTTAAAATGTGATTTTTTTCATGGATCTGGTGTATCTATATTATATTTCATGTGAGAAAACTAGAAGAAATAACATAATAAATAAATGTGTCGGAGGGCATCTTGATGATGACTTTTCATAAGATGATGATGATTAGATTTTTTTCCAGAGTTTAACTTTATGATTTTTAAGTTATTTTATTTTATTTTTATTATTTAAATTTATACTATAATACCAAATTATTTTAGTTTTACAGAAGAAAAACGATGTAAATAATCACTCCATTTTATATTGTTTAAATATATCAGAAATATGGTGAAAGCAGTGGCAATCGTGTGTAGTAACTCGGAAGATCTTAGATCTAAGTGACGGTAGCAGCGGAGGTGGTAACAATGATAAAGGGTTAACCAACAATTTGTGTTTAGATGTAAGTGAACATGATCTCTATAAATTTGGATATAAATATAAGAAATGAGGAATAATAAAAGGTTTTGTTTTGTGTTTTTTTTTTTTTGTTGTTGTCTTATGATTTTAGATCTAAAATAATTATTATATTTAATTTGTTGAACGAATTAATTTTTATTATATGTAGGGAAATGAATTGGTCGAAGTTCATGAAAGAGGTGATAAAGAAATGAATATGAGTGAAGACAAAGGAAAAGCCATCTTCGGCCTTCACAAATATATGTAGCCAAAAAAGATTGAAACATATTTGAGGTTAACATTTGTCATTGACAAGTTCTTTGGTTTAACGGAAAATGGAGATTGATATTGATCATTTTTTTTGTTTGTCTTTTGTTTGTTGGTAGGAAGTGCAGACATACTAAAGAATTGTGAGCATTCTTAGATACGGAAGCAAAGTTTATTGGAGATGTGGCATTATTGAAAAGGTTAGTGATTATTGAATGACAATAGAAGTTAATATATATATTCTTTTTACATGATTACAATATTTTTTAAAACTGGATTGAAAGCAAACAGTATAAACGTTTTGATCATGGTTAAATCTAGTTTGACTTTAAATCAACAAAATAGTATCAATCAAGAGAAGAAAATATCAACCAAGCAAATTTTATCTCTTTAAGAAAATCTCCGGAATGCATTGATATGAGAATAATAACCCCAAAATTTAAAAGATACAATATCATGATTGCAAAGTCGATCGTAAATTCTTAGTGATAGTCGCTCTTTTGGCAACACATCAAATATTTTGGTGAGAATTAGTAAACAGAATTACAAAATGATTTGAGAGTGAAAGTGTAACATTGAAAAACACATCCCAACGTACAGTCATGGCACTAGAACACCGGAGATCTCAGAATTCTCAAACGAGTAGAGAACCAGGGAGACGAGGTAGGTTATTTAAGTTCCAACCAGAAGCTATGGTTTTATCCATCTCACTTCTTTCGGTTTTCATTTCCACTTTTTTGTAAAATCCGCTTTTTAGAACCTGGTTCTCCAAATCAGCTCCATAATATACCTGCAATGGGGCATCAAATATAATAACTGTAATACAAACAAATCTGCTTTTTTCTAGTCGTTATTAATCAGTTAAACACAAAGCAGATTTGTTTGTAGTAACAGTTTTTTTTATTCGTTGTTGCAAGTAAATTATGGAGTTGATTTAGATAACCGAGTTCTTAGAAGTGGATTTTACAACAGAGGGAACATGTTAACCGGAAAACGAGATATGGATCATTACATAGTTTCTTGTTGAAACTTGAAGAACATACCACGTCTCACTGGCTCTTTACTCTCAATTGAGGATCTTGATATCTCTGGTGTTCTAGTGTTATGGCTCTATGTTGGGATGTGTTCTTTCAATGTTTCGTTGGGTAATGTTACACTCTCACTATCTAAATCATTTGTAATATTATTTTCCAATTTCACCATGTTTGATGTTTTGATTGTATTTGTTGTGTAGTTGTCATCACACCAATAGAACTTGAAGTAGAAGCAGCATGCCGCTGATAACAGATTCTTGTAAGTTGTATCAAACAAAATCTAATGAATTTTTAAGATGCCACTTATCTGCATAAAAATGGAGTTAGCAGATTAGAACTTTAATTCCTTATCACCTTTTAAGACTAGAACAACCGTATATTAGTTAACCAACGATCAATATTTTTCATCTCAAATGGTGATATGCGGTAACTTACAAAGATCAATGAGAATGCAAAATACATTAATGAACTTTCTAGAAAAATCCCATCCCTATTTATCACAACAAATTATTCATACACACTTACCTCTAAAGATTCTAAGTAATTAACTAAAAAAGAAAAATAACAATTATTTAGATTCTTTTAACGATTATTTTTCTCTGATTCTTATTTAGGTAGTTATTTAAAAAATTTAGAGGTTAGTATTTATGAATCAATATTGTTGTTCTGTTATGAAAAAGGGATGATCTTTTCTAGAAAGTCCACTGATGTATTTTGCATTCTCATTGGCTGATGTTAAGTGGAGATTGATATTGATCATTTTTTTTGTCTGTTTTTTGTTTGTTGGTAGGCATTGGAGACATACTAAAGAATTGTTAGCATTATTGACAAGGAAGCAAGGTTTATTGGAGATGTGGCATTATTGATAAGGTTAGTGGTTAATGAATGACCATAGAAGTTAATATATTTTGACTTTAACTCAACAAAATAATCTCAATCAAGAGAAGAAAATATCTACCAAGCAAATATTATTCCTTGAAAATAATCTCAGGAATGCATTGAAATGAGAATAATAACCCCAAAATTTAAAAGATACAATATCATGATTTCAACGTGGATTGTCTAGAGTCCTTCTAGCAAGCTGTAAATCCTTAGTTATAGTCGCCATTTTGGCATGTACTATTCACAAATCTGTATCTTTAAAAAATTCAAGAGATATGCTTTAGCAATTTCTTGAAAAGTCTCAACAACATTTCTGAAATCGTAAATTTTTCATGATATCTCTTTCACCAGTTTTTGGAAAGGAAGTTTTCTTATCATTAGTTTTGTGCTTTTTATGGTATTTTCAGATCTCTCTCAGTGCTATTGTTTCCTGCATGCATGTATTTTTGTAGCATTTTTACTATTTTATTTTCCATAATTGATTATTTCCTACCTTCATCACTAAATCAATTTGGAAAATCAAATAGATAAAGAGTCACACAAATACATGAAACAATGGCACTACGAAGATCCAAAATATCATAAAAACACAAAGTGAATGATAAAAAAAATTTCATTCTAGATACTAGTGAGAGATATATTAATGACAGATTTATGATTTCAGAATAGCGTTGTTGAGGCTCTCGAAGTACTTGTTGAAGCTTATTTTGTTGAATTGTTTAACGATACAAATTGAGTAGTAAATGTCAAAAGAGGAATTATCTAGTTGAATATCATAATACATATTGTGTTATGCTAAGGCTTCTCTACACCAGTAATCTGAAATGAAAAATCAGATACAAGCCAAAAAATAGTTAATAACCCATCTAAAGCGAAAGGGCTTATGCTAGTCTCATTTACAATCAGTAGTTTGGGACCAAAACTTCTAATTTCTAAAAATGCAATTACAAAAAATAAAAATATGCCACGATTCGCGACCAAAAAATTAGTGGTGGCAACGGATTTTGAGGTGGTATGAAAGTTAGTTGTCTGAAATGAAATGTAAAAGAGAATATGGAATAGTCAGAGGTGTAAGAGATACACTAACTTCTGACTATACCATATTCTCTTTTAACATTTTATTTCGGACAACTAACTTTCATACCACCTCAAATTCCGTTGCCACCATTATTTTTAGTCGCGAATCGGGGCCATTCTTTTAATTTTTGTAATTGCATTTTTGGAAATTGGATGTTTTAGTCCCAAACAATTGATTGTAAATGACACTAGAATAAGGCATTTCGCTTTAGATGGGTTATTAACTAATTGTTGGTTTGTATCTGATTTTTCATTCCAGATTACTGGTGGAGAGAAGCCAAATACAATTTTGTGGACGCATTATTTATTTTCTAATAAAAAATCATAGTAAGTGTAAATAAAAGTTGTAAAATTTGTTCAGATTAGTTTTAGAAATAAGTTTCTAAATATGTACAGTCCAAACTCAAACCTTTGAAGATCATCCTTTACATCTAAAGGATATGATTATCTAGATGGTCATTAATACATATATACAAAATGATTATGAGCTCATAATTATTTTACAAACAAATTATTGTACAAATTCCTTCGATTTTTACGAGTCGCTATTTCGAGCTCGTGGCAAGCAGCTCCAACACCACAGCAAGAGACATCGGTAAGAGTACTGTTACTGGTGATGAATATCTACAATGAAGTAAAGAGAAAATATCTAACAAAAACACTAAAATATAAACCCTCTTCTGGTCCTTGGTGAATTGGTGATGTTGTCGTGGTGGAGGAAACATAAGTAACTCTCAGTTTAGTCTCCTCAACTAGATGCCCCGATTCTTTCCTTAACTTCAAAGTTTTTCATAAAAAACGAAACCAATGCTTTAAGGAACCAAAAACCAAACTGTGATTATCCATCAAATCAACAATGTGAATGATCAGTACCGTCTCACGAGTAACTTCTTTGGCTGTGAGTCCAGGACTAGCTATTACACTTTGAATCATAAACTTTTCATTGCTCTGCATATCAGAATTAAGAACTTCCTTTTGGGCTTGCATTGTCACTAGACAAACACCAAAAAAGATTCATCAAATTCCTAATACAAGAACCAGTTTAGCAGCTGAAGCAAAAAAAATGTTTCCCCAAAAAAAAGATTAGAGAACGGACCAAGAACTTTACAAGTTGACTTTGGAAGAATTAGTCCATAATTAGACCTAACGCAATAATTTTTCGGATTTTTCGTCTTAACCTTAAATTAAAAGAAAAAAGAAACAACCCCTAGAAGCCTTAGAAACACAAGAGATAATCAACAACAAGTTAACGATTCCGAAAACTTCTTACCTTAAAGGCCCCATTATTGTCTGTCTTGTTCGTCAAGTTAAGAGAGCAAGACATCTGCTTCTTCAATTCAACTACATCAACTCAGCGAAGTAAATAGTGAAATTTAATATTAAACAACAATCTGGTTATGGGACAAGAAAGACATGCAAAGCAAAATCATGGAGGGAAAAAAAAGAGTCAAAATATAAGCTTACAAGGGAATTGAAGGTACATAGGCTCGATTTTGAGAAGCTCGTTGTTACCATCTCCATAAGATCGCCGGAGATTCAAGCTAGGTAAATAAGATTTGATCCATTTTTGGAGAAGAATGATAAAAAGTAGTGATGTCACTTACTCACTTAGCAAAAATGAATAAAATGGTGCATTATATATGTAACGCATCATCTCTTTACGATGCTCTTGAGAGAAGATTTCATCTAGATGACCAGTGATATATAAGCATATATTACCTGATATGTTTTTGCATCATATTGATTATTTTCTTCTCACATCAACTTTACCAAAAAAAAAATACGATTTAATTAAGAGAGTAGTGAAATATAGCTCACAAAAGGGGCAATAAAAAACATGCAACCAGAATTTTCAGCAGAAAAATGTCCACCATCAGCCTGCAACGCCGTCATATAGAGTAACCCTCTTCGTACGTAATTTTCTCTGCATTCTCTACTATCACTCGTGGAATTTTCTTTCCCTTAGAAACTTTTAGATAAATATACAAAAACAAAAAGTAATATTCTGGCCAATTTAATTAATTAACAAAAATTAATGCTAGATTTTAAGGTTTTTACCTGCATACGCCAAAGGAGATCCGCACTGGCTTTGAAACTTGATCGGTTGTTTGCGAAATTCCGTCGAGCCTCCTCAACCTTGGAAAGTTCCTCTACAGAGCCTGCTTTAGCATGAAACTCCCAAATCTGCCTTCCAAGGTAGTTGTTGGTGCTGAAAAAATGAGGGTCTTGTCCTGCCTCAGCTCCGATCCTAAGCCTCCACATTTTGGATGATTGGATCAATCCTACTAGCTACAAAGAACAAGTTCTTAATTAAGTTTATATATATATACACGTTTTTGTTAGGATTTTTATGTTTGTATCAATCTCTTCCCTGCAGCGAGAATCTGATAATCTTAATTCTTAAGCATCAGCCTGTCTTTTATCTGATTATCATGTTATGGAGGAATCTTTTATCTGATTATCATGTTATGGAGGAACAACCCATCAGTTTCTAATCATATACTATAGATTATATCATAGGTACACAATGTCAAAATTTATGAGATATTATTATATCAAAATCAAATGGTAATGAAAGGAATGATTCAGATATACGTAGGGGTATCAAAATGGTTAACCCAACTCAACCCAACTCAACTCAACTCATTACCCAATGAGTTAATGAGTTGAGTCAACCCATGAACTCATTTAATTTGATGGGTTAGAAGGTTAAATGGGTTGACCCATTAACCTATTAATGTAATAAATAAATTAATAATTAAAATATAATAATAATAATAATAATAATAATAATATTAATAATAATCATCATCAATTCATCATCCATCACTATTATTTGGCGGGAAAATCACAGATTTACGTTTTTGGCGGGAAAATTACGGATTTACGTTTTTGGCGGAAAATTTTACATTTTCATTTTTGGTTAAAAATTATAAAAAAATTTGGCGGGAAAATCACGGATATACGTTTTTGGCGGAAAATCACGGATTTACTTTTTTTTGGCGGGAAAATTACATATTTTCGTTTTTGGTTAAAAATTATAAAAAATTTTGGCGGGAAAATCACGGATTTACGTTTTTGGCTGGAAAACTACGGATTTACTTTTTTGGCGGGAAAATCACGAATTTATATTTTGATGGAAAAATTGTGTATTCACATTTTTGGCGGGAAAATTAAAGACTATATTCAATCGGTTTAGAATTTTTGGTTAGACTCAAATTGAAATCGGTTTATAGATTTGAATTGGTTTGATTCAATTTAACAAAAATTGATAGGTTAAATGGGTAAACCATTAAAACCATTGACCCATTACAACCCAACTCATTTGATCCATCAACCCATTTGACTCAATAACTCATTTGATCCATCAACTCATTTGAGTCAAAAATTTCAACTCATTAGGATTCATGGGTTGAGTTGAGTTGGGTTGATCCATGAATCTTGACCCATTTTGACACCCCTAGATATACGTATATGCTAAATTTTGTTAAAAAGAAAGATTTAAGTTAATTAAGCAAAAGTTAGGATCATTAAGTTTTTTAAATTTGAGATAAATCTTCATCTCTATTAAAATTTAATAAATAACAATCAATTTTCTTTTATAAACTAATCAATTATTAACCAAAGTTATGAGTGGGAACATTACAACCATTAAGTTTTAATATTTTATTTTTAAATCCAAGTTGCTATATAAAAAGTTGAGTATCTCAATATGATAAGGTTTCATATAAGTTTTATGAAAATGATGAGGAAAAATGCCATTGCTGGAAACCCTTTTAAGAAACTCACAATTTTATATTTTTTGAGTTGAATTGAACCATATATACAAATGTTTATGACCATAAAAAGAAATTCAATTGAACAAAAGTCTATTAATAAGAATTCAGTTACGCTCTAAATTATATGTGTTTTTTAATCCACATTATTATTGATTTTGTAGCATAACCAAAGCGGGAAGAAACTCAAAATTTTCTTGGAACATTAATATTGGTCTTCAACAAACTGGAATATGCCCTTCTTATTTGTTTTATTTTTTCCTCAAACGTACTAATATTATTACCAATACTCAAGAACATCATGCAAGTTTCTTGAGTAGACAAGTAGGAGGACTACAATCCAAAAACGCATGGTAAATTTATGAAGAAGAAGCATTGGATCTTCGTTTGACAAAAAAAAAATAAAAAAGAAGCATTGGATCTTCAAGGCTTGTATTAAAACTAGAGAACCAAATTCAAAAATTACCTTCACGAAACCCGATTATCTAGACATTTCATAGCCAAGGGGGAGCTGCAGTTTCTGCCTCTAAACTAGAAGGTAAAAGTAGATAGGCCTTTGCTCCAACCCACCTTGCTTATTTCCCTGTTTAATCCCTTAAGAATCCATCCAATACTGCTCCGGTTCTAATCTGCTTTCCATGCCACTTCGACATTACATTTGAAATGGCCTACCCACTTGATTGAAGGTGAAATGACAATAGGTTTGTGTAAGTTCGGATGAGGTACGATAAATTACGGAAAGTAAACGACACAAGAAATTTGTTAACGAGGTTCGGTTTTTCCTACTCCCTGGGACCACGTCCAGATTTCGATTTCACTAGAACAAGAAAGCAAATTACAACCAATTCGCAAACGCGTAAAACAAGCACAACCCTCTTGATTTACCGCTCCCTTCTATAACGTGAAACCTTAAGGATAATCTCTACCCTTAACTAAACTCCCCTTTGAGTCTAGATTTAATCATGATAACCTAACCCTGAGCTAAACTCTTCTTGAGCCTAGACTTCAAAAACAAAACCACTTGATCACAGAAGCACAAACCCGCAAAACTAAGTTGCACACAATCTCACAGAAAACTCTCAAAGATTTCTTCTTTATGCCTCAGCTCTCTTGCTTCTCCAAGACGTCCTCCACTCCTCCTTATATAGCCAAAACGATTTCCTAATCACCATAGGAGAAGATTTCCAATTTCCATAAGAAAAAGTAAATTTCCTTTTATACTTTTCCTTTTTCTCATCAAACTCCACTTTCATCAAGTCTTTCAAATCTCTTTAATTCCTTTTTCCTTTGTGATTCATCCTCTAAACACGCTCCAAACATATCTTCTCAAACCTTCTAGAAACCGATACTCACACAAAAACAGTCGCATCTTGACTTACTTCTTGAATCATTCAGCAACTCCATCAGACAAAAACTTGTATTACTTCTTAACTCATTCAACAACTTCATCAGACTACAGCTACATCTTCATTCTCCCCCTTTTTGACTATGTTTGTGAACTCAACAGTTCTAACTCCAAAACAACAACACGAAACACATCATCATTCTCCCCCTGAATGAGTCACAACATGGTCAAAATTGCTTGGAAAATTCTCCCCGCTTTGCAATACGAGGTTGATAGCCTAGTTCACCACCTCCATAGAAATCATCTTTCCTAACCCAAATCTTCCTGCGCCTTAAGCCTTCATGACTAGAATCTCGAATGAATCTGAAACAATTCCTCTTAATATGCCCTTGAACTCCACAATGATAACGTGTAGGACCATGAAATCTCACATCAAAAGCATTCTCCATTCGATTTCTCTCCCTCAACAATCTGAAACACCTTGGCCTAATATGCCCAACAACACCACAATGATGACAAACAGGTCTAAAAATTCGTTGAGGTGCATTCTTCAATTCTTGATTTTTCCTTAAAGTTGATGCAGTCTCTGTACCAGTTCTCGTAGTAGTTCTTGTACCAGATGCAGTCTCTGCCACAGTTGCAGTTTCTGACACACTTCCTGATCCAAACGTGATTTTTCCACTAGAAACAAACACCAGATCTGATTTTAAAAGTTTTCCTTCAAATCCAAGACCACACTTATCAGTCTTGCCAATATTCAGAATATGATCCAACTTCTTTGTGTCATTATTAAGCATCCTCAAATTCTTTTGAGTTTCTTCAAGTTGTACTTTAGCTTGTGATGCTTCTTCTTCTTTTTATGCTGCATATTTCTGTGCTTCAACGACTTTAGCCTCTAACTTGAGTTTCTCCTTAGTTAACACTGAATTCTTCTCAACCATTTTAAGCCAATGCTCATATAAGGCTCTATAATTCTCATGAAACTCTTCATCACTGATACTTGCAGCATCGTCACTTTGATCATTGTCACTTTCAATTACAGCTCCTGTTGCGGACACTGATGCAGACCCTGACACAGACGCTGATGCAGACTCTGACACAGACGCTGATGCAGACCCTGACACAGACGCTGATGCAGACCCTGTTGCAGACGCTGATGCAGACTCTGTTGCAGACGCTGATGCAGACTCTGTTGTAGTTTCTAGCAAAAAATTAGTAAACGCCACAAAATTCTTCAGTTCTTCTTCCTCATCTGAATCAGTTTCAGAATCACTAGTCACAACATTCATGGCCTTCTTCTTATGCTTTTGTAGATTGGCGCATTCCGAACGAACATGTCCATATCCTTCGCATTCAAAACATTGCACATTCTTTGATGAACTTCTCAATTTTTCATCAACTCTATCCTTCTTCTCTTTTCCCTTTCGCTTCAGATATTTAGTAAACTGTCTTGACAACATAGCCATTGAATCTTCAGTTGATGATCCCTTAAGAGCAACTCCAATGTCAACTTCCTTCTTCACTTCATCTACCTTATTCATCTTTCCTTTAGCTTCATATGTTTTGCTTAACTCAAATGCTTGAAGAATCCCAACAAACTCATCAAAAGCCATCTCATCTAGATTATGAGTTTCTTCAACTGCAGAAATCTTTGACTCAAATTTTGCAGGTAATGATCTCTTCAACTTCTTCACTAGCTTTTTGTCCTTGTAAACCTTTCCAAGAGCAAACGATTCATTAGATATGTCACATAACTTTGCAC